GTATGTGTGGTGTGTGGAGAGTGTACTGTATGTGTGGTGTGTGGAGAGTGTACTGTATGTGTGGTGTGTGGAGAGTGTGCTGTATGTGTGGTGTGTGGAGAGTGTACTGTATGTGCGTGTGTATGGAGAGTGTGCTTTGTGTGTGTGGTATGGGGAGAGTCTGTTTTGTGTGGGGGAGGTGTAGAGAGTGTTCTGTGTGTGTGTGTGGAGAGTGTGCTGTGTGTGTGGTGTGTGCTTTGTGAGGAGGGGAGTGTGTGCTGTGTGTGGGGGGTTGTGTAGAGATTGTTGTGTATGTGTGTGTGCAGTGTGGAGAGTGTGCTTTCTTGTGGGGGGTATTGAGAGTTTGCTGTGTGTGTGTGGGGGGGTGTGCTGCACGTGTGTGTGTGTGGAGAGTTCTGTGTGTGGGGGGATTTGTGTATGTAAAGAGTGTGCTGTGTGTGTGGGGTGTGGGGGTGTGTGTGGAGAGTATGCTGTGTGTGGGGTGTGGGCATATGTGGGGGGTGTGCTGCGTGAGTGAGTGGGGGTGTGTGGAGAGTGTGCAGTGTATGCATGTGCGGAGTGTGTGTGTGGAGAGTGTGATGTGTGTGTATGCCCAATATGATACGCTTTTATGGAGTTCAAAACCTCTAATGGCACCTCTGGGAGACTGTGTTGTGTGTGTGGTTGTAGAGTGAGCTGTATGTACAGTTGGAATAATAATTCTTACATAGAATACATAAGTTGTGTGCAGTGTATGCCATGTGTACAGTTAAGAGTGTGTGGTGGGTGTATGCCGTGGGTGCGAATGGAGTGTGTGTGCAGCGTATGCTGTGGGTGTGGTTAGAGTGTGTGTACAGTGTATGCCGTGTGCGTGGTTGGAGTGTGTGTGCAGTGTATGCCGTGTGTGCAGTTAGAGTGTATGTGCAGTGTATGCCGTGTATGCAGTTAGAGTGTATGTGCAGTGTATGCCGTGTGTGCAGTTAGAGTGTGTGTGCAGTGTATGCCGTGTGTGCAGTTAGAGTGTGTGTGCAGCGTATGCTGTGGGTGCGGTTAGAGTGTGTGTGCAGCGTATGCTGTGGGTGCGGTTAGAGTGTGTGTGCAGCGTATGCTGTGGGTGCGGTTAGAGTGTGTGCAGTGTTGGCAGTGTGCGTGGTTGGAGTGTGTGTGCAGCGTATGCTGTGTGTGTGGCTGATCCTTGTAAATATTTTTGCATGCACATGAAGAATAAACTTAATATATACTTTAGAAAATGCATTCCACCATATTTTATAGACTAACGAAATTTGTCACAATTTTACACCTATCAAACATATTCAAAAACAAACTAAATCCGCCGTATTTGAATTCTTTCTCATATTTATTTATCTTTAACTAAACGTCTTGTACGCTGCCATTTTCTTACCGGGCTTCGTCCCCGTCTCTGTGTATCTGAGCGCCAGTTACCCTGTTGACACAGACTATAAATCCGAGCTGCATAAATCATTCCCACTAGCTATGAAAGTAAATAAAAACCAGATTATTTCTAATTGAAATCCTTCGTTTTTAAGGCCCTTGTACGATTATTTACAGCATATATTTTACGTCCAGGAAACAAACCGCAACGTTTTCTTCCCGTTTTTAGTCTACTAGTATTTTTCAATTTTTATTGATCAATATAAGTGTACATCGGCTATATTCTTTAAAAGTAAATATATTAATTTAATACACAATTACTTGGTGCTATTTTAGATTACTTGTTCAGACTAATTCTTTATAATGTAGGCCTCTATAAAGAGAGGCCTAAATCATACAATTTTGATATACAGATGTTAATATTAATCTTAACTACCATTAAAATAAAAATTGCAAAAAAAAGAAAAAAACGGCAGTTGAATGCGTATAAACGCGTTAAAGGGCTTGTGTGAGATTGTCAAAGCTACTTCACACATGCAATTCGTATTTCTGTAACGGTGCTGTCCGTATATCTGTGATTCGGGGTAAACTTACTGTCCGTTAGTAGGTGACAGCCCTAAATGACGGACGGTAATTAAATAGAAGGAGGTTTTTTACGGGTCTTATAAGTCTCTCGGCCGTGAATCTTAACGTAATCTCCTAACGTATAATACACGCATAAGCGGAGGGGGAAGCTGCTGATAACGGTCTCGCCGCACGCACGGGAGACCTGCGCTCCACGCTATTACAGCCGAATAGGTCATTAGCCGTAAGTCCACGGCGAAGCGCTCTCCCTGTCACTGTTTAAACGACACTTTAACATTCCCCGTCGCAAAGGCGAATATTAAAATGACTTATGCCGCTTGTGATACACGTATCAGGCACAGCAGCTGGGAAATAGTCCAGGCTCCTACCCTGTAGACTCTGATAGAAGCCCCAATAAATGCGCAAGCAGTTCTTCTCCTTCTTCATGCCCCTTTTGCACCTGCAGTTGTACAGGGGGCTTTGCTTGAGGGCCTCCATGGCGCTGCGACACTCGTCCTGCGCCTCCAGTCCCGGTACCACGCTGAAGTTGCCCTCCTTCCCAGCAACGCACTGCCTCATTGTCCGGTACTTGGAGCTGCACGCCGGCTCCCTCAGACACAGATCGCTGGCTCTGACACAGTCCAGCCGGTTCGACCGGGAGAAAACGCTTTCGTCCGCAGACAGCAATACTTCTGAGGATTTAAAAAAAAAAAATGCGATTTTCACGATTAAGTGCGACATTCCGTAATAGCAAAATATTGGCATTTGTTACTTTTTGTATTATGTTTAAATTAGGGTAATAAAGAACAAATTGCGGGATTATTAGTTCAACACATAAAGGAAAGCATGAACTGAGAAAAAAAAATCCGTTTTCAAAACTACGTTTTTCACAGTTTTAAAGCACAGGTTAAAATAAGTTGCAAATAAACTGCATTTGTAGAATCTGTACGCTATTTCTTACGCATGAAAACAGCTGCTTATGTTAAGTAAAGAATGCGTCTAACTGCGTCTATAACACATTAATCTGTCATATTTACTTTGAAATATTTCTCAAGCCCAATCGGTTTAATGAAAATCCCGGATTTGAAGACTATAAATAACAGTTCTCTTATTGTTTTCATATGCCCTTTTAACGTCTCACATCTGCACCGATCATTATTATAAATATTCTTTTACTAGCCAATTTTAGTCTTTATTTTACGTAGGCTATATTCTCTCCCCTAATCAATTCAAATATTAACTTGGTCTGACTTCATGCATTTTTCTACTTACCCAACACAGGCAACAAGATGGATAAAGTTAGGAAGATCATCGCGTTATTGTCCGTGGGTTATTAAGACGTCGCAGGCTAGTTTTTAAAAGATTTTACGCAAGTTAAAATTTCGATTCCCCTGATAAATCCACTCGATTCGGAGTCAGATCCATGGAGGCAGCGCGAATAGGCAGACGGCACCGCATATACATCCAGTAGATTCCTAATGGATTTCTTCCTTTCCTAAATGTTGCCCAGTTTGAAATCAGCCACACAAAACAGCAGTCCGATGTACACTACGAGAACATGCGGGATGAGGAGGAGAAGGCAGTCAGCAGAGGAAGAGGCGTGTGAGACTGATGCGTCCGCTCCCTCGCGCAGTACCCCCACCAAGGAGCCGGGCAGCGCACATTGACGGCGCGCACCGAGCGTCCCTCACGCGATCATTACATTTCCAAATAGTACATAACAGGCAGTGCCCTCTTATACGCATTAAAACAGTGTGCTGCGTTTGGCGCTAGGGGTTTAGGCGGGATGCTGGGCTGCTTTGGCCGGTGTCTGCGGCGTTGAACTGGGAGAGGTGCGTACATCGGACGCATGATTCTCAGGTAGGACGAGGAAACACACGGGATCTTTTAAACTCTGTACTACGCATCACATAACTGGCAGTTTTACAGCCCGAGTGAAACATCTCAAATGAACTCACTTAGATTTAGTAAAGTCCAGTTTAAGTAACTTTCCCATTTATATAGAAAATCTGATAAACCCAAAATCCAGTAAACAACACTTGAAAACGGCTCTCTTTTATACTGCGTGATTTGGGTACACCGACACGACCGGCACGCTTTCCCAACCATGTACAAAACAAATCCTTCCGACAAGCCAAACACCATATTCGCCTTCCTAATGATTTCTACAAATAAACCGAATATTTCCTTCTTTGACAAATGGGAGATTACGCACGTACTGGCCGTCGGATAGAAAACGAGTAGCGTATCCAGAAAAAAATGTCCACTTGCTTACTGTGTGATTTTCCTCACCAAAAGTAGCATTATAATTTAGTGAATGTTATATTCTCCTACAAACTGCGTTTCAAATACCGTGCAGTTGAAACGGACAAATACAAAATACAGTGGCGCGCAGCAGACAAGCCCGAATGAAGTTATTTAAAATTAATAGACTTGGTTTAATTCGCATGGTAATTAATAGTGATGATGCCAGGGTAAACTCCTGCACAGAATAGAATATCTTTATTGTCACTGTACATGTTCTACTAAATATTCTGTGTGCAGACTATCCACCAATGCCACATATTAAAAAATAAAAATAGTGTAGCATGGTGACAGTCTGTCTAGCAAATGGCGAGAGATGGATTTAAGGAGGATGCTTGTCAGGCAGCAGTGCTCACCTCTTACCCTTCGGGTCACGTCGGTACAGACGCTAAGCCTGAGTAATACGAGCCGCGCGCCCGTGCGCCGCCTATTCGCGGAGAAATATGATCAGCGACCGCCGCCTGTCGACCGATAGGGGAACTTCTCTTCCGCAGCATTTGCGGACACTGTAGGATCTATTATAGCCACTAACAACACACGCTAAAAATTTAACCTCAATATAAGGGCTCCACTCGTAGTCGATTGGATACAAGCTTATAATCTTCACCTTTCAATTAAACATAGATTGCGTGTATTCCTAAACAGAACATACACAGTCTTTACATGCCACCCATTACAACTTTCTAAAATATTACGGACGTATTTTACAAATCATTGAACGTCTCTTGGTATGATGTGTGTACAGGGAGTCTCTCTCGCCGAAGCACTGGTAATTAAGGGTTAGCACGATCGCGGTGATGAATTAAACGTCATGCACATGAACGAAATGCAGTGTCTGGCAACTGAAACTGCGTGTTTCTGTCATGTCAGTTTGTTTCAGAAGATCTTGTTTCGTAGATGGTTTTTCTCAGAGGTGAAGACGATGAATTAACTGCAACATTGTATAAATTATATCATGTTTGAACGTGATACTAGTTAATTTAATTTATGTATATTTATATACGCATTAAAATGCTGTTATGGATAATGAATGGAACCACCATATTAGCTGAATTATGTGAGACATCTAAAGTATCCAAACTCAATGGATGGGATCAAATCACTGTAGGATTATATGCTCACTAAGAGACATGGCACTACTTACAGCAGAGGGGGACTAGAGAAACGCAGACGTCGAGTTTTAAAATAATTACCGTACGGCTTTCAAAAGCCGAGCTAAATCAAAGGTAAAATATATAAAATAGGCCTAATTAAAACCTGGTGGTAATTTTAAGACGAGCTCATAGTCTCGCGAATGTCGAAAGGCTTTTTCCACAATAACCATCAACTAGGCCTACTGCTAATGAACTTAAATTCTTATGCATTTGGCATTAATTTATCTTGATGATTTCGCATATAATATAACTGGCAACTTCCTGAAATTAAAAAACATAAAACCGAAACTTCATGAATGTCCTAAGTCAATAGTTTCTGTTAATTCTCCAAATGAATATCAAAATAATAAGGTAGGCTACTGACCATGGAAACAATTCTGTATTAAACCCTTAATGTGCTTCGTGGCCCCGAGTCAGCGGCGCTGTTCATCTCAGTCATGACATGGGACGGTGTCCCTGGATAGAACATTCCTTTGGAAAACCCTCATCCTCCAGTTTCATTTTTACGACCGCTCTAATTATACCGTTACCATTAGTTACCCCAAACTCCTTACATTACATTAACTTTTCACACAAAAAGGTGGCCAGACTGAATATTTTTTGGACCCGGGTCTGTGTGTGGAAGTATGAATGTGTCATGAGTCCGGGAGGCGCACAGTAATTAAGAGACTCGTGTTGTTTGCTCCGACGATTGTAACTCTCATTTATGGCGACTAGATTAATACTCCTGCGCCAAGAAACACGCTGAAGCGATATTAGGACGGGAATGAGAGCGCTGACACATGTGACGGTCCTTAGCAGCTGATTTATGCCACAACGGGAGCCGCTTCCTCAACAGCACGGCCACTCTGTTTAAGACAACGAGGATCAATCGCAGGCGTGACGGCAAAATCAATTGTTAATTTCCGCAGGATTACATTAGTTAAAATATATCCCTTTAAACTCACTTTTAAATCACGACCAGAAGCTGGATTCATTAAGCATCTGCAATATTGTTAGCAAATATTTGACGACACGTAGATGGTCTGGATCTGGAAAACTAATGAATAGTGATAAAAAAAAGACGGATGAAGGAATCTTTGGTGGCAGAGGCCGGCATAAAGCAGCCAAATCGTGTAAATTTTAATGAATTCTGTCCACCATTTGGATGGATTCCCTCGTAAGACCAACGGACGGCCTTACTATTTCCCGCAAGACGATGAACTACGGTAGGGTAGGCCTACATCTTATTCATTTCGAACTGATTACACATGCTGCTATTTATTTATGTGATGCTTTCTCCACTGGCACGTGTCACAAGTGGAAATCCCAGCGGAACCGGGGACCAACTGGTCGGACCATGAGGTAAAAACCCTTATTAAAAGTATTGGTATTCTGCTGTGTGGCTGCTGTTCATAAAATAAACCATTTCAGTAGTTTGAACCCCCTGTGATATTTCCATGGATGGGTTTGTTTTTTCCACTCAAAATCTACAATAATAATAATAATAATAATAATAATAATAATAATAATAATAATGGCCTTGTGCCACCAATCAATTAAGTACATCCCTACCAAATATTTAGTAAAAATACAATGTATAAATTAATTATGTGGTCAACCATTCACTTACCTACATTTAGGGGTGCAGAAAAGGCGGGGACATAAGATCTTTTATTGGTCTGGGTTGGGGCCAAAAATCTCTAACAACATCACTGCCGTCTGACAGATGGCATCTCTTAATCCCCCCTCCCCCTTCCCTCATCATTCCCAGGGTAATCTGGCTAATGAGGGAGCTTCATCCATCAGATGGCATCTCTTAATCCCCCCTCCCCCTTCCCTCATCATTCCCAGGGTAATCTGGCCAATGAGGGAGCTTCATCCATCAGATGGCATCTCTTAATCCCCCCTCCCCCTTCCCTCATCATTCCCACTGTAATCTGGC